GCAGGACAAAATCCCAGACGTGCAGATACTACAGCGAGCAGGCATGAAGAGTATGGCGGTCATCTTGCAGGAGAGACGCTTGCGCTGGCTCGGCCACATGCGCAGGATGGACACAGGTCGAATCCCAAAGGTCCTCCTGTACCGAGAACTCGCCGAGGGCACACGGCCAACTGGGCGCCTCCGCCTCCGCTACAAAGACGTCTGCAAAAGAGACATGAAGCAGTGCAACATCGATGTCTCCTCCTGGGAGAGCCTCGCTGAGGACCGGCCTTCCTGGCGCTCAACGGTGAAATCTGGCGTGAAGGAGGGCAAGGACGCGAGAAATGCAGCTCTGGCCGAGAAGAGAAGAAGGCGGAAGCAGAGAGAGTCCCAGCCACAACAACAGTCAACGTTCGTATGTGACAAATGCCAGAGGGATTGCCATTCGCGGGTGGGACTGTTCAGCCACTCCCGCCGCTGCCGCTGACCCCATCCCTACGGAATTACTCCATCGTCTCACGAAGACGGAAGAATGCCGACGACAACTTTATCAGTTCAAGGAAAGGAAACAATTGCACAGTCCTTTAACTACTCATCTGCCACGCCGGCATATAGCTCGGGCGTGGAAAAGTATTAATACATTTGATATGCAGTCATGTGATACTACATTCCAAATTTAGGATACAACATAATTATATCTTCTAAGACATCAGATGATATGAAGTAATTACATAGTTCTCTAGTTTCTTCGACATTACAAGCTGTACTGACCTGCTAATACATTCTATATCCAAGCCTGATTCTTGCAGTCACACTGTCTTGTTCTTGTTTTATATAAACCATAGATGAATGAATCTTGCCTAAACCGGTCATAGTGCTTTATGCTACAGTTTTCAGGGCGTTGAGAATGAATTAGCTTTAATGATGTATAAAATCTTCTATGGCAATATGTGTGCAAATGCTTCCCAAGGGTGCTATACATAAAAGAACAGAGAAGATCCCCCAATTTTGGCTAAGTCGCTCATCTTGTTTCCATTGCGAGTGTGAATTCTAGACGCATATACTACCACGGGGGTCCAGGGGGCGGCGTAGCCCCCTTGCTAGCAAATATATTTCCACGGGGGTCCAGGGGGTAGAGTCCCCTGACTAGGGAATATATACACCACGGTGTTAGGTTAGCTTGGATGTTGGGTTAGGACGTTTTGTTTAACAACCACGGGGGTCATGTTTTAAATCCATAATTTCCCTGATATACTTCATGCCCTCTCCCTGCTATCGAGACAATCAAATCAAGATTGTCGATGGAAATGATGATCATATCTCCTTAACGATTTATTTGCACAAGGAACAATGCCTAGAAACGTTGAATGCAGTGGCTTTCATGCAGAAAAATATAAAAATTGTTTCGAAAGTAACCCACTTAAGCACTTCTACATACTGACCAGGGGATCTTCTCTTTTCTTTCATGTATAGCACCCTTGGGAAGCATTTGCACACATATTGCCATAGAAGAATTTTGTCTTGGTTTGCATTGCTCTATCATTTAATGTAGGTTTTATTACAAAACTCTCCCACTACCTTATACTACATATTGACCGGGAATGAAACTAGTCTTACTCAATTATTCTTTAGTCCACATCGATGGGTTTCAAATAAAATGTAAGAATATAATTGAAAGGCATACTTTTTTCAACATTATATTATGAGGAATCATCCCTTTTTTCTTCAATTTAGAGCATTAATTTAGTATAGAAGCAATAATTATAGGCTAAATAGAGATACAATGATAGTGATATATTTGTACATATTAAGTATATCCCTGCAATGTACAATATACATTTATAAGTGAACCATTCGTCTGGAATCCATCTTATATTGGCCGGTAGTATGTGTTTCTCTTATGATAGACAAAACAAATTGCTAATGTGGCACACTATATGAGTGTTTCTCTTCATACTCGCATCATAAGTAGAATGTAGTGGTAATGAAGTATAATGCCAAAATAAAAGTTACATTCTATTTAGAAGATGTATGAAAAAACTGTAAGCAATATCATAAATTAGGTTAATGTTCTCTCTTTTGTTGCCAACGGTCATGCCACGTTGAAAGAACCGCTTCTCGTCCGATCAGCGAAGTTAAGCAACCTGGATCTGGTCAGTACTTGGATGGGTGACCGCCTGGGAACACCAGATGCCGTTGCCATTTTATTATATGAGCTAAATATGTTATGCCTTTCACTATCACATTTAACAGTTTTTCTTATATCTGCATATGGAAATCAATTGAAATTATAAGTCAATCAATACTAAATAGAGTAAAAGTTATCGACGCGATTGTGATTTGCGAAGTTCTAGCTTCGCCCGGGCCTTATCGCCGTCGGATTGCGAGACAAGGATAAACAGAAAACGGATAGGGGTATAACTAAAGTAAAGTACAGGAAAGTGATGATTGTGGTGTTAATAATCAAATTAGTAAATGATTACAAAAAAAAAACTTTCAAAACGCATCAATCTTTATCCATTTACTAAAGATTTCTTTGGGAGGGAACAAAACGGGTCTTACTCAATTATTCTTCAGTCCGCTTCGAGGGGTTTCAATTAAAACATAAGCATAAAATTGAAAGGTATATTTCTTCAATACTATATTATGAGGCATCAACCATTTCTTTCTTCAATTTAGAGTAATAGTTTAAACTATTATATGAAAAGTGGTGGATATATGACAAATAATTTCGTCTCAAATTATTCGTAATGTTATAATTTTTGTTTAATATCACATTGTAGTAGCTGTATAAATTTGACTCAAAATCGTAAAAATGCGATAAAAGTTTATCTACTGATAAAATGTATTTAGATAAGACAAAAAGGATACAAGTTATATAACTTAATAATGAAGAAAATGAAGCAAATAAGATGAGCTTTAGCACAGAAAAAATCAGTATAGTTGAGTAACCAGTGAACCCAAGTGAGATTTTATTTCCCTTAATGGTCGGCTTTTGTGACTAGTGATTGTAGGTCGAAAGCGAAGGCAAGTAATAGGAATTTACAGCAAAGTAAAAAACTAAAGGAAAACTGAATTGTATATAGGCATTGCCATAAATATACAGATTGCTATTTCTTTTCTTAGGAGTCATACCAAATAAATGCTAAATGTGTTATTCATATCTTAAGAGTTTTAGCGCCAGGTAAAGCACATATACAAAATTTGATGTGGAAATCTTGCAAACAAAAACTTGCACAATAGGATACTAGACATGAAGATAAAATGACAGATAGAAAGCTCGAAAATATGTCTCCAACCTCATTCTACCATATCCCATACCTGACGAAAATTTGGTTAATAGTCTCATTTACTTTGCCAACGATCATACCACGTTGGGTCTGGTCAATACTTGGATTGGGAATACCAGGTACTGATATTTTACTATACATGCTAAATATGTTATTCGTATCTTGAGAGTTTCCGCGCCAGATAAAGCAAATATACAAAATTTGATGTGAATATATTGCAAACAAAAACTTGCACAATAGGAAACTACTTATGAAGATAAAGTGACAGATAGAAAGCTCGAAAACATGTCCCCGACCTCAATCTACCATATCCCATACCTGTAGTTGATCATTTATGATTTACATTAGCCATTACAGAAGCATCATTATTATCATTATCATGACAATAATACTAATGTTGATAGAAGCAATAATCATACGTTAATATATAAACAACAATTATAGGCTAAAAGAGTTATAGTGATGGTGATAAAAATCTATTATATACCCTTATTGATTTTAGATATTTGCATATAATGTACAATATACATTTATTATTGAACCGTTCGGAATTAATCATAATTAGAATGTAATGGTAATGAAGTGTAGTGTAAAAATAAAAGTTACATTCGTTTTAGATGAAAATATTGTAAGCACTGTACCAAATCAGGTTAATGTTCTCAATTATGTTGCCAACGATCATACCACATTGAAAGCACCGCTTCTCGTCCGATCAGCGAAGTTAAGCAACGTTGGGTCTGGTCAGTACTTGGATGGGTGACCGCCTGGGAACACCAGATGCTGTTGGCATTTTATTATATGAGCTAAATAAGTTATACCTTTCATTATCACATTTAACAGCTTTTCTTATATTTGCATATGGATATCAATTGAAAGTAAAGTGATAATGATTATGTTATTAATAATAAATAAATAATAAGTAAATCTTTCGCCATTTACTAAAGATTTCCTTGGAAGGGATCAAAATGAGTCTTACTCAATTATTTTTTAGTCCACTTCGATGGGTTCAAAGAAGATATAAGCATATAATTGAAAGGCATACTTTTTCAATACTATATTATGAGGAATCAACCATTTTCTTTCTTTCTTCAATTAGACCATTAGTTTAAACAAGTTTATGAAATGTGGTAAAATGGCACTGATGAGAGGGGAAACCTAATTCCAGAACAGATAATATCGTCTCAGTTTTATAATTTAATTCAAAATCAAATGTAGTAGCTATATGATTTTGACTCAAAATCTTGCATACACATCTCATTTCCTTTTACATCAACCATTCATTATTTTTCATTAAAAGACCGAGTCACTGAACTACAATTATATATATATGTATACACACTTAATGTTTGATACTATTTTGATTGATTTTGATCTAATTTCTCGAGAAATGGTAATAAAGGGATTACCCTTCAAAGTACCTATAACCAACATACTTGTATATAACTTGTAAGAATGATAAAGGTTTTTATTTATTCCATTATAAAAAATACCTTGCTATTGTCTGAAATGAGATTTTTGTATTTCAGCATTTGCAAAGAACATCAGTATCTTCGAACGAGTGATGTATAAAATTTTGTGGTTTCGCAATAATATATCGGTGTTGTAGGAAATTTTCCACTAGCGGGCTCGTTTGACAAACTAGGCTAATGCAATATATGCAAGTAAAAACATTAATGAGTTGCATAGGTGGACAGGTGGATCTAGAACACTTTTCTGTAAAAACGAAATTGAAGGGGGATAGTGCGAACGCAGGCCCCCGCTATCAAAAACTGCGCTTAGTGTTAACCACATTTGGGTCAATCGCAGGGGTCAGCGCCACCAGAGTGCAATGGTGAGCTTCACCCTGGGAGAACCACCTTCGTGATCACGATATCTCCTGTGCCAGGTAAGTATGCTGTCCTTTGACCCACCGCCGACCCAAGCTTGCTCACACTGAGAAGCTCCCGCTCTTTAAAATATTTCTTATACAAATATCCAATCACACTTAACTTTTGCTAAGACACTCCGAGTGAACGCCACTGAAGATCATATTTTGAAATCATATATAAGGAAAAATCACATGCAATTCAAATATTCATCCGCAAAAATTAAGGGCATAACCTTACTCGAGCTCGGGTTTGTCGACCTACGACCGTAAGCATCCTGTTGTAATTGTTGCAAATTTCAAAGGCGATGTTCTTTCATTACCTGGCAAAATAATTGCAATCATCAATATATGTAAATGTATATATGAATCTTGTATATGTATATGCAGACTATATTCCTGAATTGTACAGTATACCTGCATTGGTGAACCGTTCGTCTGGAATTTATCTTATATAGACGTGTAGCGTCTCCTTTCACACCTGTCACAACTAGAATGTACTGGCAATGGAGTTTAATGCCAAAACATAATATACATGAAATGATATATGAAAAATATGTAAGCACTGACAGAAGTGTGGTTATGATCTTTGTATCTGTGCCAACGATCATACCACGCTGAAAGCACCGCTTCTCGTCCGATCAGCGAAGTTAAGCAGTGTTGGGTCTGGTCAGTACTTGAATGTTTTTTTTTGTTTTTTTTACCACTCTTAACAACTCTTCATGTATTTGTATAAAAAAAAAGGATAAACAGAAAACGCATAGGAGTGTAACTAAGGCAAAGTGATAATAATGGTGTTATAAATAATGATATTATAATTATGTTTACGAAAAAAAGGAAAAAAATCATTAAGCATAAAGTCATTGGAATAATGAAATAAGTCTAAGAAACACTCACGGTCATGTTTTAGCAATATGTTTGGTAGCAGTTTTAAAACTTTGGTTCTGCAGTATTCCCTATAGAGCTCCAGAGCCGGAAACTGATTTTTAAAGATTGTTATCTGTGAGAACTCAAGTGAAAGTCAAAGACTAAAGGAAAGTCGTAGATGTACATTGACATAAATATACAGATTACTATTTCTTTTCCTAACAGTCATACCACGATGAAGTCACCGTTTTTCGTCCGATCAGCGAAATTAAGAATAGATGGGTCTGGTCAATACTTGGATACGCCTTTTATACATCTTTTAAGTAGAATGTATCTATTGTTTTTTTTTTCATTAAACATCATTGCTGTTACAATCTAGTTGTGCCGGGTGTGCGAAGAGACACATTAACAACCCATGTAAGGTGAATTCCAGACGAACAGTTCACCAATAAATGTAAATCGTACAAGACAGGAATATAGTCAACCCAGGCATAAATCAATAAGGGCACACAGTAAATTACGATTATTATCACCATCACTATAACCTATCTTATCGTATGCCAATTGCTGCTATCATTATTGTCATGATACTGATAATAATGATGCCACTGTAATGGCTCATGTAAACAAAAAATGATCATATAAATAATGGTAATATTAACAATGATGAGTTGAATAAAAATTAAACAGCAATAATGTTGATAGTTATTGTAACTGTGATCCTACCACTAAAGGTAATACGTGACAAGTTAATAATTAGATCAAATTTATGAGCGATCATGGTAAGAAAAGACATAATAATCATTGTAATCGTGGCCGTCTTATGATCGTGATAAAAATTATAACAAAACTATTTACGGATAAAAAAAAATAGTAGATGGAGGTCGTGGACATGTCATCGAGATATCTGTCACCTCTATTAATATGTAGTTTTCGTAGTGTGCAAGTTTTTGTATGGAATATTTTCGTATAAAATTGTCCATATTTGCCTTATCTTGCTCAGACATTCTCAAGAAATGCATAACATGCTAACATGTTTACCATGTTTTGTGAAACAATAGCGTCTGGTGTTCCCAGGCGGTCACTCATCCAAGTATAGACCCAACTATTAATTTTGCTGATCGGACGAGAAACAGTGACTTCAACGTGATATGACTGCTAGGGAAAGAAATAGCAATCTGTATTTTTATAGCAATCTTCATCTACAATCCAGTTTTCCTTTATTCTTTGACTTTGCTGTAAATTCTATTATTTACCTTCCTTCTGGACCCACATACACTAGTTACAGAAGCCGACTATTAAGGGAAGTAAATCTCACTTGGGTTCACTGGTTACTCAACTGTACTGATTTTTTTCTGTGCTAAAGCTCATCTTATTTGTTTCACTTTCTTCATTACCAAGTTATATAGGTATTATAGGTTAATTTTATCAGTAGATGAACTTTTATCGCCCTTTTACGATTTTGAGAGTCAAATTTATACAGCTACTACAATATGATATTAAACTAAAAGTATAACATTACCAATAATTTGAGACGAAAATATTTGTCCTGGAATTGAATTTCCCCTCTCACCGATGGCATGTTACCACTTTTCATATGCTAGTTTCAACTAATGGTCTAAATTAAAGAAAGTAAAAAATATTTGATTCCTCATTATATAGCAATGAAAAAGTATGCCTTTTAATTATATGCTTATATCTTATTTGCTTAACTTCGCTGATCGGACGAGAAGCGGTGCTTTCAGTGTGGTATGATCGTTGGCAGAATTTGAAATACTATTAACCAAATTTCCGTCAGTGCTTATATTTTTTCATACATTTGAATAGAATGTAACTTTTGATTTTGCATTACATTTCATTACCATTACATTCTACGCATGAGGCTGTTTATTCTAAGGTTCCTTCGTTTCTTCTGTGTCTGTTTTTTTTTATTATTATTATATATTTTCATCAAATTTGATTATCACTAAGTTATATGTTTTATTTTTTTTTATCAAAGTTATTTTCTGTGCTAATATGCATATTGATTTGATTTGAAAGCTAAAGATGTGTTATTCTTTAATGATTCCAATCCAAATTGTATCATATGCATCAATTCGATTATAGCCTCAATGTCTCAGTTCGATCGACCCAATAGCTTTTTTTATGTGTCGGAGGGCAAGCGGTTCGTGAAATGTTTACTTCATCTGTCATTCATTAAAACAATAAAATATCAATAACAATTTCCGGTGGTATCTATTGGAAGCCATAGCTGAAGAAAATGCGATATTTTTCCGTCAACAAAATGTTTTTTGGGGAACGTGTCCATTGCATTGAACAACGCGCCTTCGTCTTGCTGAACATGCACATGACTCTCTTACAACGGTCAACACTAGCCTTTTGTGTGTAGACGGAGTGTCGAGGGAGTGCCGTGTCTCGGTATGCAACGCGCCTTCACTTCACTGTACATGCACATGCCTCTCTATTGCATCCTTTTCTGCCATTCAGCGCTTACCCAAGACTCATCTCGCGTGTTACCATCACTTGTGCTCTTCAGAAATAAAAAAAAATATATATATACTCCAATAACTACCCCTGCAAACCAGTTCTTAAAGGCCTCTATATAACATTTTACATTCTGGTGACAGAGTGGTCGTCGCATCTTTTCGGCTCGAAACACGGACACAGTCTCCGATTTCCGTTCGACCCATCGCTTCCATGACATCGCTCATTCATTTCAACAATGACATAACTCAAAAAAGGATACTTTTCAGGAGAAGCAAAATAAACTTTTAATATGTAATACAGTCTTCCATGTAAGTTTTAAAAGAGGTATTTAGCAATGAAGTTTTATTTCAGGATTCAATGTAGTGCATGACATCAAATATAATAAAATTCACTTAACTGAAATAAAACGCTATGCCAACTAAACGATTCGTCTGAAAGAAAATGAGTCACTATGCCTTGAGCGACATATAATGGACAATTTTGATACTAGAGTTATGGCGTTCTTACCACAAATAAATATAGAAAATGACAAATTCAGTGATATAACTAACTCAAAATCTTCAATTTTTGAGTTATGTCACTGTTGAAATAAATGAGCGACATGTCTTCAAAACCACGTGAGTACATGCTTTAGGCATTTTCATCACACACGATATGTGTATATACATGCAAACAGACTCGTCGTTGAGCTACTTTCAAACTCCTGTCTTGTTTTTTTTTTTATATATTCACATAAAATTGTCAAAGGTTCGGGGTAATAGTTACTGCTACAAGTTAAAACTTGGAGTCTACATTAAAGTAAAATATACTTATGGGGGGACCTATTTTGATTTAGGGGGATTCGTCTTGATTTTTTTTTTATCGTTACATGTTTTTAGTTTAAGGATTTACTTTTTTGGTTTTCAGTATTTTTATTTTTTATTAATTCCTGCATTCTATAATTAATTTTAGATAGGTTAGTATTTACGTTTTGGGTTGTCTTCTATTAGATTTCATGTACAATTTTACTTTTTAAATTTAAAACGCTGCATGAGTACCGTTGGCAAAGAAATGGGCTGGGCCATAAATGGGCAGGGTCGAGTCTTCTGCCTGAGGGGGTGGTTGGGGCAAGGCGGCTCGAAAGACAGGGTTCAGCTGGACGGAGTAAGTGGTCGTGTACGCGTGGTGGTAGACAGGTCGGAGTGGGCAGGCTGACGGCTAGAATTATTATTAGTGTTTTCTAGTTTTATATAGTTCTTGATGCTGTGTATGTGTGTGTATTCATATATATATATATATATAATATATATATATATATATATATACACACACATATGTATATATAATATATATATATATATATATATATATATATATATATATATATATATATATATGTATATACATATATATATATGTGCATATATGCACACACACATATATATGTGAGTGTGTATGTGTGTGTATGTGTGTGTGTTATGTATATATGTATATATATAAATACACACGTACACACACCACACATATATATGTGTGTGTGTATTCATACATATATTGACTGTTGCTGTACAAAAGAGTGACGCATTGAACCTTACTCATTAATTCCAAAGAAGTGGGAGGTAAGCAGGCGAAGATCTCATCTTCTAGTGCTCCGTCTTATGACAGGTCCCTATTGGCATCCATTTCCTTAATCCTCTGCACCCTCGATTATGGCTGCCATAATCATTTTCTTGCATATGCCTCCCTTCTCACTCAACTTGACACAATCCATGATTACGGTCTTCGTTTAGCCCTAGGCGCCTTTCGATCCTCTCCAGTTGAGAGCCTATATGCTGAATCAGGCCTCCCGCCCCTTTCTCGACGTCGCGCTCTTTTGTCTCTAAGAAGTTATTTTTTCTTAATACCTTCCTGCTGTAATTGCTCTCCTATCTCCCCTGATCCACCCATTTCAAACATCCCACGTTCTATCCTCCTCACACATTTTCTTGCACATATCTCTAGACACTCGTCCAGTGCCTATGTCTATAAAGGCGGCTCCAAATCCACCCTGGGTACTGGTGTCGCCGTAGTCTTTCCTTCTCGCACATACAACTTTCCTCTTCCTCATGAATCAAACAATATGCTATCCTCTTCGCTTTACAACGCATGTCTTCATCTCTACCTCACCCTTCACCATCTTCACTGACATCCATACACCTTATCAACCCTATAGTCCGTAAGATGCAAGACCAGTTGTTTTATCTGTCTACACGACAGAAAGCAGTGAAGTTTTGCTGGATGCCCAATCATGTATACATAGATCACACCGGACTCACGCATTCATACTTCATGTCACAATCCATCAAACCTCTCTGCTCTACATGCGAGGTTCCTCTTTCAGTCCCACATATCTTACTGTCCTGCCGCCATCTTACCATATGGCACCAATTGGTTCGTCAAACACCGCATCGGTGATGGCACAAATTTGCATATATATATACACACACACACACACACACACACACACACACACACACACACACACACACACACACATATATATATGTATATATATATATATATATATATATATATATATATATATATATATATATACACACACTCACACACACACACACACAGACACACACACACACACACACATATATATATATATATATATATATATATATATATATATATATATATATATATATTAGCATACATACATACATATATATACATATATGTGTGTATTCATTATATACTTATATATATATATATATATATATATATATATATATATATATATATATATATATATATATATATTTATACGTATGTAAATATATATACATTTATACATATACAATACATATACATATACATACACTCACACACATATATACATATGTATATATATTATATGGGATCGCTATAATTAGGTTCTGGCAGATATTTTTCTTTTTATGGCCAATTGCCCTTCCTGGCTTGGCTTGCCCACCCAATGGCTAAGTTAAATATAAATATATATATATATATATATATATATATATATATATATATTACGTATACATGTATATATATATATATATATATATATATATATATATATATATATATATATATATATATATATACGTATACATGTATATATATATATATATATATATATATATATATATATATATATATATATATATATATGTTAGTCCATGTAAGTGTTGAAAAGTGTTGGTGCAAGGACACAGCTTTGTCTCACTCCCGAGTTAGCAGGGAAGAAGCTCGACATGACATCACTACACTTTATAGCACTTTCAGTACCAGTATAAGATCTGTAGTGATGCTGTTATTTCCTGAGAAAGTTCTCTGAAGAAATTATTGGAGTTAACAATATTATAAAAATCATTATCATCAGATGCACATGTCACGATAGAGAGCAAAAGCACGCTGAGGAGCTGGAACGCCGGCATGTTGCACAGTCTTTGCAATAAATGACTGAATCACAGAACTCTGCTTACGTGTTAATAACACTTGCATACATTTACAGACATACATACATATATCTTCGCTTCCCGACTGAAAGTTGCATGTCTCTACCTAGATTTATTATACTGATTTATTATACATATAAACATATGTGTATATGTATATGTATACATATAAGTATATATATACACATATATGTACATATATACATATACACATATGTGTATATGTATATGTATACATATAAGTATATATACATATATATGTACATACCCCCCCCCACACACACACACACGCGCGTATGTGTATACGTGTGTATATTTGCGTGTGCGTGTTTGTGTGTATGTATGTATATGTGTGTATTTGTGTATGTTGTTATAGTCAACTTCCCGTCTTTGTCTTGATATTAATATATACCTTTCTAATTCTAACGTTCGAGATTAAATTAAATTTAAGGTTCGAAATAAACAACTGGTAATCGTTTTTATATGGCTATTTGTGTACATAATATCTACATATACTATTGAAAACATACATATCACATATGCACATATCCGTATATGTATTAAAATACAATCTACTTATAATTCTAAACATGTACTATATAGTAAATATACTTATTAACCATAGTACATATATGTGTTACATATATCAATATACATTATATATATATAATGTATATTACATATACATATACATACAATGTAAGATAGAAAAACCCACAATGCAAAAACAGTTTCGAAATCTACCTGAGGATGGAATCCAGGTAGATTTCGAAACTGTAGTCTCACTTTCATTAAATCTAATTTCTGCTGTGGGTTTTTCTACCATAGTATCAACACGGAAGAGTGTTTTGCCGTTCATAATGTAAGGTAAACATATAGAATTCAAAATATATAATGTAAAGTAAATATAGAATTTTAGATATACAATGTAAGGTAATCATACTTATCAACTATTTTTTATATATGTTACGTATATTAGTATACAATCTAAATATAATCCTAAACATATAAATACATATGCGTGTACTGTATTATCAATTTATATCTCATCAGTTATAGAACACGTAAAAAAAAAAATCATATTTATATGAAATAATTACTAAATAAGCATTGGGGGTATATATAATCACACACTTTATATAATGGTATAGCTGTTGATCGAAAGGCAGTTGCAGAGCTCGATGTGTGGGATGAATAACCGTTCGCCACCGCCCTTCGTCACCAGCGGCTTCAGGAAGAAACGGTTTCATAAAATGTGACAGCTAATAATAGATACTTGAAAGGCAGATTCAAGTTTTTCAATGTAAGGGGGATACAAGTCTGTCAATATTTTTATAAGAAATCATATTTCCATATTCATTAATAACCTTTGTGGATGCCACGATTGTAAGTCCTTAATTCATCGTCATCTTCGTTATCACCATCATCATCTCGTCCTTATCATCATCGTCGTCATTGTCGTCATCGTCATCACCTGTGTAATAAAATAAAATTACTATGTGTATTTCATGTGTTACATGCCACATAATTCTTAACAGAAAATCTCTTTTCATCCTTTTCTCTTATATCAATCATATAATATGTACAAATTAGCATACATTTGTTTTTCTCCTATCATCTTTCTGTGGTCATTAATAACCTCATCTTCATCATCGTCATCATCCTCATCTTCATCATCACCACCATCTGCGGGATAAAATAATATTACTATGAGTATTCTACTGACTTCTCTCACATGTTACATGTATGACAGTTCTTAACAAATGATATTTTTTCTATCCATTTCTTCTACACTGATCACATATGTGCACATTAGCATACAGTGAGGCTTACTCACCTAGCATATTGCAGTCGTTTCCTTCAACAGCTACTGGCACTCTTTGTACAAGATAAGGTGTTTGTGCCCGTGTTGTGTGTGATATTTTATAAAGATGATTTTTAAAAATACAATTTCTATTACTTAAAAAAATCGTCACTGGTACTACGTTCATTATCTTTTTTTTCGCTTTTTTCTATATTAGTTCTTAATTTACTCTCATTGCGTTTATATATATTTATCCATACACCATCCTCATAATTTTATAGCGGATGTATTTGGGATCAACCGTATTTTCCTCATTTCGAAGAAAAGACGGACATAAACTCCAGACATATCCATGACATGTTAAAGTACAAGTTGTAGGAAGGTTTATGCCATTGTCCAATATTTGATGGTGCAATGAGGAGCGCAATGATACATTTTAACAGGCTAACATCTACATCAATAGAATATAAATTTACTTGTATTTCTAAACTGATAAGCATCAAAGGAACAACTGCTCTAAAAAAAAAATATATATATAAATATATATATATACAGATGAGTATGTAGTGTCTCTCTCTCTCTCTTTTTTTTAATCTTTTTTTTTTATCTACGTTTGTTATTTTCTTTCTAATCTTTTAATTGTCAGCTCCGTGGCTAGCTCGAGTTGTTTCAACCGAGTATTCCCCATCACCATCATCATTATTACCACCACCATCACCACTTCCACCCCTACCATCTCCACTACCACCACCATCACCACTACCACCATCATCATTTATTTATTTTTTCTTGGAGGGTGAGAGAGACTCTGAGTCGGATGGCCGTTTAACAGAGAGACGGACGTGAGTGTTTCGACCCCCAGACGAACCGGGGCGATTAAGTGCTGGCTGAAGAAAAGGTGATGGGTCGGACTGGTTAAGTACATTATCTTCACTGACTGTCGATGAGTCGGACTGGTTAAGTACATTATTCATCAAAGATCTGGAGATGTCTTGGGGTTGTAGGTAGGGATGTTGTTGTGATGCTAATATATTGATTATCAAAACCTGTTGCTGTTGTTGTTGTAGGTAGGGTTGTTGCTTGTGTTGCTGTTGTTGTTGTTGCAATGCTAAGGTAAGTTGTTGCTGTTGTGGTTGGTAGGGTTGTTGTGATGGTAATATATTGATTATCAAAATCTGTTGCTGTTGTTGTTGCTGCTGTTGTTGTTGCTCCTGCTGCTGTTCCTGCTTCTGTTGTTGTTGCTGTTGTTGTTGTTCCTGCTCTTGCTGCTGTTGCTCCTGCTGCTGTTCCTGCTTCTGTTGTTGTTGCTGTTGTTGTTCCTGCTCTTGCTGTTGTTGCTCCTGCTGCTGCTGTTGTTGCTCCTGCTGTTGTTCCTGCTTCTGTTGTTGTTGCTGCTCCTGCTGTTGTTGCTCCTGCTGCTGCTGTTGTTGCTCCTGCTGTTGTTCCTGCTTCTGTTGTTGCTGCTCCTGCTGTTGTTGCTCCTGCTGCTGCTGTTGTTGCTCCTGCTGTCGTTGCTCCTGCTGCTGCTGTTGTTGCTCCTGCTGCTGTTCCTCCTGCTTCTGTTGTTGCTGTTGTTGTTCCTGCTCTTGCTGTTGTTGCTCCTGCTGTTGTTGGGTATATTGGCTATCACTCGGGTGGTTATTTAATGATGGATATGAGGATGGGTGGTGCTGTGGAGCCGGTGTCTGTACCTGCACCCGACGGGGTGACGGTGGCCGATTCTGCAGCTGCGAAGGTGTTTGTGTCTGGGGAATATCTCCACTCACCAATTGGAAAAAAGACAAACAATCATCCAATGTTTCCATAAACTCATCTTGTGCTGATGATTCTGTTGATGGTGGTGATCCGAGTTGTTCTGTTATGTTATTATCAACTGATGATAATGAAGGTGACCGTTTAACTAATGAATCTATTGCTGAATTTACTGTGTGTGACAATTCAGTAATAGGCGCATCTTGAGAGGACTGGCTTTGATCTCTATATATATCTTCTTTATCAGTTATCGGTGTTGGAATCTGTTCTGGTATTGGTACCTGTAGATTCTCTATCCTATTTCTTGTGTCTGAAAGAAAAAGTATAAAGTTATACATTTATATATAACACGCAAACACATACACATTTCTAAAAGTTATCCTTAAAAGAGGCACTCCTAAAGAATCTCTCTTACGCTAATAATATAGAACATGTGAACATAGGGTTAACTTTAAAAACGTGTAGAGGTGTACTAAATTACATAGATGTTGCTTTATGTTTAAAAAAAAAAGTACTTTAAATCACACGCGCGCCTGTACACACACCCACACATTCAAAATGATAAGGCAGCAAAATTAGTATTGAAGCCAAATAAAAGATGTAGAATTAGAATTATTAAAGTATATGCCCCGACATCAGATATGGTACTTTGTAAGCCTCTTCGCTAACGCCTATCCAACTCCTAATGTTAAAGAAAGCTCATTCATTCTAACCAACATATATATGTTTCTTATATCTGCACTGATTATAATACAGTAATAATAGTATCTCGTGTTCCATTCTCTTGTTTTGTCCTGTGAATATCAACTTTTCAGAGGCTGTAAAGAGAGAGTTCTTTCCATGGCAAGTGCATTTGTCAGCTATGTCCGTTTCCAATGATTAGATAAAATATCCGTTATACTTTTTGTGAATCAATGCTGTTCATTTATCTAAACATTTGGATTAGCTGTTTCCATACGAAAATCTATAATGCGCATTCATAGTCATTTACGTTTAATGTAAAAGCATCGGAAGGAATGTGTAAATATGAAGTCAAGCGGAATGCATTCAAACAGTATTTACCGAGTGAAAAGTGCCAACGTAGTAATAGTTTTCAAGAGTTATCTAGCATGTTTGTGATCTTACTGTGCAATATCTTTACTAATAGTAATTATATAATAGTACATGACTTCTTTCTACTCATAATCTTAACTTACGGCAGACGGCCTAATAAGAATCAATTACAAATATAATCCCGAACTGACATTATGCTCTGCACAGGCGCATTAGAGACGCTGGGTGGCGCAATAAAAATTGTGTCATGCTTCAGCTCGCCTTAGTAACTCAAATATTTTCTTTAACTTTTACTATTTTATTAGCGTTCCGGAGGCCTTAAAATTATTAAGTATATGTTCCGACTTCATCTGATGAAGATGAAAATATATAATGAAAATACATAGGAACAGCATTAGAAAGACATAAATCTCAGTATACGTTAATAATATGGAAAATATCTGAATAATATTCTTAAAGGTTATTAGACAGTTTATACATTTATACATTGTATACATACATTTCACACATGTAAAATGTTGTCGCATGACACGCAGTTAAAAGTTGTCCGAATCACACGCACATATATGATACTCTACTTACCACTTATGGCTTTCTTTGATTGGTCTTCCATTGTTGATCACTAATAATAGTACAAAAGAATGATACACAGTTGTGAGTAGGACAACAAGAACAACGAACAAGTGATTGAGGAAAAGGCAGGAGAGAAGTCTTAATAACTGTTCATTTTTACTTACTCCCCCGATCTCAGGCAACATTTCATGTACACAAACTTTCGTCTGCTCCCCAACTCTAGGTAACATTTCTCGCTCGCTCGCTCGGACGTTCGCTCTTTCTTTCAAACTACGTGTATTACAGAAAAAAAAAAACTTTTTCCATGTAAAATTTCAGTGTGTAGACTTTCAAAATCAAGTAACATCCCACACGAAAATAAAATGTTTTCTTCTTTCCTTATAACTTAGGGCCCCTAATTAAACATGAGTTTTCTCTCTCCCTCTGTAACCAAAATTACTATTCCATCTCACAGTCTGAGCCCACACATACAAAGTGATGAGGCAGCAAAATTAATATTGAAGCCAAATACGAGACGTAGTAGAATTAGAATCATTAAAGTATATGCCCCGACATCAGATCCGGGACATTGTAAGCCTCATCTTTAACGTCTATTCAACTCCTAATATTGAAGAACAAAGCTCTTTCATTCTAACCAACATGCGAATGTTTCTTATATCTGTGTAATACAGAAATATTCGTGTTTCATCTTCCATACTCTTGTTTTGTCCTGTGAATTTCAACTTTTCAGAGGCTGGAGAGAGAGAGTTCTTTCCATGGCAAGTGCATTTGTCAGCTATGTCCGTTTCCAATGATTAGATAAAATATTCTTTATACTTTTTGTGAATAAATGCTGTTCATTCATCTAAATATTTAGATTAACTATTTCCATACGAAAATCTATAATGCGCATTTATAGTTGTTATTTACGTTTAATATAAAGCATCAGAAGAAATGTGTAAATATGAAGTCAAGCGGAATGCATTCAAACAGTATTTACCAAGTGAAAAGTGCCAACGAAGTAATTGTTTTCAGTTATCTAGCATATTTGTGATCTTACTGTGCAATATCTTTATTACTAGTAATTATATAAAAGTATATGACTTCTCTCTACTTATAATCTTAACTTACGACAAACGGCCTAATAAGAATTAATTACAAATATAATCCCGAACTGACATTATGCTCTGCACAGGCGCAATTGTGACGTTGGGTGGCGCAATAAAAATTGCGTCATGCTTCAGCTTGCCTTAGTAACAGTAAAACCTTTTCCTTAACTTTTAATATTGTATTATATTGTACTGACTACATACAATATATATAACATGGAAAATATCTGAATAATATTCTTAAAAATAATTAGACACTTTATACATTTATGCATTATAAACGTATATAGCACACACATGTAAAAGGTTGGCGAATGACACCGCTAAAAGCTGTCCGGATCACACACACATATGATACTTTACTTACCACTTATGGCTTTCTTTGATTGGTCTTCCATTCTTTGTCACTAATAATAGTACAAAAGAATGATACACAGTTCTGAGTAGGATAACAATAAGAAGGAGAGGTCTTAATAACTTGTCATTTTTACTTACTCCCCCGATCTCAAGCAACATTTCATGCACACAGAATCTTTCGTTTGCTCCCCAACTCTAGATAACATTTCTCGCTCGCTCGCCCGTTCGCACTCTATTTCTCTCTTTCAGACTAGGTGTATTATAGAAAAAAACTTTTTCAAAGAAAATTTCATTATGTAGCCTTTGAAAATCAAGTAACATTTCACACGTAAAAAATAAATAAATGAATAAATAAATAAAAACATAACTTTTCTCCTTCCCTTATAACTGAGTCTGAGCCCACATATTCTTCGTTGCTTCGTCTTTTCACAAGTAATCAGCATTAAAAAGACATAAAACTTAGTATACACTTGTACACAGAGTACGGTGATATTCTTAGAAGTAATTAGACACTTTACATTTGTACTTTATAAACATACATATCATACACATGTAAAAAGTTGTCGAATGACACGCAGTTAAAAGTTGTCCGGATCACATGCACACATATGATACTTTACTTACCACTTATGGCTTTCTTTGATTGGTCTTCCATTGTTGGTTACTACTAATAGTACAAGACGATACACAGTTGTAAGACAAGAACAACAACGAGTAAAGAATTGAGGAAAAGGCAGGAGAGAAGTCTTAATAACTGTTCATTTTTACTTCCCCCGATCTCAGGCATCATTTCATGCACACAAACTTTCGTCTGCTCCCCAACTCTAGGTAACATTTCTCGCTCGCTCGCTCGGACGTTCGCTCTTTCTTTCAAACTACGTGTATTACAGAAAAAAAAAAACTTTTTCCATGTAAATTTTCAGTGTGTAGACTTTCAAAATTAAGTAACATCCCACACGAAAATAAAATGTTTTCTTCTTTCCTTATAACTTAGGGCCCCTAATTAAACATGAGTTTTCTCTCTCCCCCTGTAACCAAAATTACTATTCCATCTCACAGTCTGAGCCCACACATACAAAGTAATGAGGCAGCAAAATTAATATTGAAGCCAAATACGAGACGTAGTAGAATTAGAATCATTAAAGTATATGCCCCGACATCAGATCCGGGACATTGTAAGCCTCATCTTTAACGTCTATTCAACTCCTAATATTGAAGAACAAAGCTCTTTCATTCTAACCAACATGCGAATGTTTCTTATATCTGTGTAATACAGAAATATTCGTGTTTCATCTTCCATACTCTTGTTTTGTCCTGTGAATTTCAACTTTTCAGAGGCTGGAGAGAGAGAGTTCTTTCCATGGCAAGTGCATTTGTCAGCTATGTCCGTTTCCAATGATTAGATAAAATATTCTTTATACTTTTTGTGAATAAATGTTGTTCATTCATCTAAATATTTGGATTAACTATTTCCATACGAAAATCTATAATGCGCATTTATAGTTGTTATTTACGTTTAATATAAAGCATCGGAAGGAATGTGTAAATATGAAGTCAAGCGGAATGCATTCAAACAGTATTTACCAAGTGAAAAGTGCCAACGAAGTAATTGTTTTCAGTTATCTAGCATATTTGTGATCTTACTGTGCAATATCTTTATTACTAGTAATTATATAAAAGTATATGACCTTTCTACTTATAATCTTAACTTACGACAAACGGCCTAATAAGAATTAATTACAAATATAATCCCGAACTGGCATTATGCTCTGCACAGGCGCATTAGTGACGTTGGGTGGCGCAATAAAAATTGCGTCATGCTTCAGCTTGCCTTAGTAACAGTAAAACCTTTTCCTTAACTTTTAATATTGTATTATATTGTACTGACTACATACAATATATATAACATGGAAAATATCTGAATAATATTCTTAAAAATAATTAGACACTTTATACATTTATGCATTATAAACGTATATAGCACACACATGTAAAAGGTTGGCGAATGACACCGCTAAAAGCTGTCCGGATCACACAGTTCTGAGTAGGACAACAACAAGAACAACAACGAACAAGGGGTTGAGGAAAAGGCAGGAGAGAGGTCTTAATAACTTGTCATTTTTACTTACTCCCCCGATCTCAAGCAACATTTCATGCACACAGAATCTTTCATCTGCTCCCCAACTCTAGATAACATTTCTCGCTCGCTCGCTCGCCCTTTCGCTCTCTCTTTCTCTCT